ATAGGATCAGGCTGGAAAAGAGCTGATGGCGCGGTGGTCAAACCAAAACATGGCACCAGTCAATGAAATCTACAACAGTTAGTTTAAGCCATGTAGGAAGGTGTAGACTTCCTGGTTGGGGTCCTCGGGACGGTAAAAACCAATGGTTGGAAACAATTGGTGACATGGCTCAAAATCGTTCTCAATGGCTGGCGCAGATGCATCCACTCCTTGTGACTTATGATTTCCAATGAAACTGTTTGTTCTTCGTTATTACTATTTCTTTGTCTCACACCTTTGTTTACTGTTTCTATTATGCATTTCTCCTCTTGCTTTGTGTGGTACATGGATTGTGGCGACTTGAACTGCCGCACGTATGTGCAAAGTTCTATGTCGAAGACAGACAGACAGACAGGCGCTTGCGACCATCAGGATATGCGGTGGATACATAGCTATGATTATAACTCCATCAATTTACTATACAGATTTGAGTCAGACAGATATCACTATATATTACTATGTCTAGCAATATTCAGTGATGGTTGTTCAGGCAATTAAATAAGCCATAACGAATTCACTGAGAACGAAATCTCATAACAGATACAAAAGAATCTTTGGCATTTGAGGATTCATTTTTGGTGTTGGTTACCCAACAGAAAACTATCCACTACAAATATATGATGGTAACAGTTCTAGAAACTACTCAGGCTCAGCGGCGGAGGACTCCAGCAGACCAGTACAAGTAGTAATGCTTCGAACCCTGACGCATCGGTAGCTTACGAATTCATACAGTTGGTATGCATGTCAGGTTGGCAGCAGGTAACTCAAAGGGGAACGTATCAATAGTCCATGGAAGCTCGGTGAAATGATCGCGAACGGAGGCCTCTATGAAAACCTCTGTGATTGGAGTTAGGGTACACATGCCCAAGGATATCCAAAAAGCGACGCGAGTTTTGCTAGATTGGCAACCGAAATCAGATAAACTACACCCTAGTGTTAGAAGAGTAGAGACTCTGCTCCCTGAAGGCAAGGTCAAGAAGGGGGACATATGTTTCAGATCAATATTTTGTTCAAGGAACTTTCACTTTCATTTCGGAGGTCTTTAGAAAAGCTGGAGATAGAACACAGTTCACGTTTATTGCCCAGAAAATAGAGATTGAATTTGCAAAGCACGTCTTCACTACAGTCGTCGTGAGAAATTAGGAAATGCTAATTAACATCGCCGAAGAAATTGGTATGGAAAAACACTGAAAATGGCTTGGTTGCAAATCTGTATAGACATTCTAGGCAAAAATAATAGTCAAGATAAAGGATAGCTAACTACGAACACGTAGAAGTGCTGACAAAGGATTGAAGAATGTTGACGCTAAAGATGATGGTACTTCTTCGGGAGTTGTAGAAGAGAAGGTACCTCTTGAGTGAATAAAAGGCTACCTCCCAAAGAAGGGCAACTTAAGCTTTTGAAAAAACTGTGTGGCGTCATCTGAGTGTCCACCCCAAAAAAATATTGAGTCATATCACTTTAGACTGAAAGTATCCTCTGAATGTAAAATCCTACCCGGAACACATGGGTTTCTGGTAACATGAATCATGTGCAGCACTACACATCATCGAACAGAGCATAGAATAACAATCAGCACTTAAACTTCATCGGCTTTGAATTGGCTTTTGATAGGAACGATCGAGAAGTAATTTGTCAGCTATTTCACCATGGAGTGCAGTGTCGCAAGTCTGTGTAAACTTTATTTAATAGCCAAATGGTATAGCCACATGGGAGTTGATACATAACGGAAAGCTCAAGGGAGCGTTTGAAGTAGGACAAAGCTGTCTCCTTTTGGCTTCGATCTTCCTGATACTAGTTGACTGGTTTGTGCATCGAGAGTGAGATCTCAGGTATACGGTGGGTTTACAGGAAACTAAGCTGGATTTCGTAAATGATTTATGTCTCGTCTGATACAAACCTGAAGATCTAGAAGTAGAAACCAAGGAGTGCAGAGCGGACAGGACTCCTAGGTCAACATGGAGAAGACATAACTGATGAGGATTTCATACTCCAGCACCAATTACGATTAATAGAAGAAATCTGTAAACAGTCGCCTCTTCCATTAACGTGCTCATCAACATGCAGAGATCTTCAGCTTTTAACACGTGGAATAAGATCCGGTTTTTCAACAGTTATGTCAAGTCAATGCTTCTATTTTGATCACAGGCTTGACACTTTATGGAAATTATTTCCGACAGGTACCTTCGCTGGTTCTATACTAAGAACCATATGGCTGGCCAGGAAGGATAAGCAACAAGAAATTCTAGAGGCAGACAGTCAAACAACTGAGGACCTATCACTTAACAAATATGCAGAAGTAAATGGAGGTGGATTGGATAAGCACTGAGGCTACATTGAATGACACCCCACTCGAGGTCATCGAGTGGTACCCGAATGGAAAATGTCGGGCCGGGCGTCTGAATGTGAAATGGAGATTTTACAAAGACTACATGAAAACTTCCAGTTAGTCTGGGCAGTTATGTCATAAAAACGAGAACAGTGGAAATGTACCACTGCAGCCGTGGTATCATGTCTAAATGTGAGGAATGTATAATAATCATAGTGTTTTCTAGTGATATTACTACGGATATAAAAAGCCTGTTGGATATGTCCCGAGTTGTTTCATCTTTGGGATCAGTCCTATCTCTGAATACCCATTAAATAGTTTGAGCATTGTATACCGAATATTTCTGTCCTTCTTCACGGTTTTCACTGATTTTTGAAGACAGAGAAAAGCTGCAGTTTACGGACAATATGTACTTTTCAGCGCAGCTCAGGCGTTGCGGAAAAATGACGATAAATAATTTCGGAATGAGACGTAAAGTATCAGATCGAAAAGACGAAACAGTAAGCTAGACAGTGCGAATAAAGGGCTTGTCACCAATACAAAATAGTTAGTAGTGCCATCTTAATCGCAACATCCTGTTATGTCATTGTGTCTACCAGAATTAAGATCTGAAAGCTACCTGATTCTCTATTTATTTTTGCTTCAGAACTAAATTTTTGTTATAGAGTAGTGGTGAATAACGAAGCAGTCAGTGATTGAAGTCACTCAGTGGCGCTGATGTGTGGATGCCCAAGTCAGCCTCAATAATTAGAGCTTTAATTTTTTTTTCTTTCTGAATATTGTTTCACCTTGTGATGTAGACAAATTAATCCAGAACTATATGCTACCAGTGCCCAAGTTTTACACTTGTAGTTGATATAACTAAATATTCTGCCATGTTGTGTTTGATTACTACTGAAGAGGTCAAGGTTAATCAATCTAGTTTACAAGATCACAGACAAATCCTTCCGTAATAACAGCAGAGGTGTCACAGAGTGTTGAACATATAATGTCCTATTGGGATACATAGATTAAGTGTGGCTCGGATGAGACAAACGTGAGGTAATCATGTAGAATTGTTTTTTCGGAAGAGAGCACACCGACCAAAACTTTTTTGCGTCCGAAACTTTATGTATTATAAAGCGAATCTCAGCAGCCAAGATCACTCAGAAAACCATGAAGCACTTCCCAAGCTTACCATAATGCTGAATTAAATCTCACTGATTCTGAAATAATTCTAACGTTCTATAGTGAGTAAATTCTGAATCTGTTCTGAAATGGGTTCTTTAGTGGTACAGACTAGAACTCAGTTGTGGTTTTCAGCATGACTGGCACTAATTCAGCGCCGTGTTGTCTTTCTAGGCATTTTCAGGAGTAGATCAGAACCTACTGGGTTAGCTTATCAGCTCATTTTTAGCACGGACTAGCGTTACTTCAGAACGGAAAGACGGAAAGACCCTAACTCAGCACCCAGCTCTCTTTTTAAGCACGGCCAGTGTTACTTCAAAATATAGTGGGTAGATAAAATCTTCATTGACGATAAAAGGCATTGTCGAAGAATAGGTTAGAATAAGTTTAGAATTGTTGTAGGCTTGGGTTTGTCTTTTAAAACTCTTCCACATGGCTCCATTGAAGACCAAACCTGAGATTTGTCATATTATAAGATGGAAACCATGTGGCTGCTGCATTTTATTACCATAACTTTCTTAATATTTCCAAACTTAACGGTGGCAATATATATATTTGGTCGAGTTTGTGTCATTGTTTATCAGTGAAATAAATGTCAAAATAGTATATTATATCATCCAAGACATGAATCCGATTCATGCATCTGTATAAAGCTTCTTGAGAGCTCCTCCTGAAGCAACGCAAGCAGTGGTTTCATCTAGGAATAATGAATAGTTTCACTAATCTTCTTTCATCTGTAGTAAAGTGCTTGCTAATGAGATTTTGTTTAGTGGTATACAGAAAACGTTACTTATTTGCTAGCTTGCCGTTGTCGCAGATTTCGAACATGTCTGGTGATTTCTTAGTTATTCTCGCTCGCTCTTATCTGTGTGATATTCATTGTAATGTCGTTATAACCATGTCGTCTTTCATTTTTGGTATTTTGTAGTGCAATGTGATTTGAACTGAAGCATGCTTGTTCAAAGTTTTACGTTAATTTGTTTGCCAGTAGAGCACGTTATACAGAAGGAACAATTTTATTGCTAACTATCAAGTTACACAGTTACAGAGATTTACGAAATAACGTGAGAATTTCAACCTTACGTGTCATTACTGATAAGAAAAACGTAGGCGTTTGATCGAGTCTATGTGTCTCATTGTGTATATTGATCTTGATTAATCGTGTTCTTGTTAATTTTGAGTTTGGTATTAGATTATTTCGATAGGTGGCACCATATGTGGCTTTCACAGTTGGCTTTTCTCTTCCATAAAAATGTGTGGTTTATTTCCATTTTTGATAATAACAATACTTAAAACTAACGAGACCATTTGCTTTAAATATGTAAACAATTACAGATTTTGACGAATCGTAAGAGTACCACTTTTTTGAAGGAGTTATTATATACCGTCAAAATCTAATGATAATTATGGAAAAAACTACTTAAAAATCTGATGATAATTTGTTGCATTTTTTATAAATTCCAGATCTCAAATCAGTGAACACTGTTATAACTTGGATAAGAAGACTATGGATTCTCGGTGTAGTCTTATAACCTTTTTCGGTCTGTAATGTATTCTTCAGGACCTGTAAATACATTGTGAAATATACATTATTTCTTTTACAATATTTTCTGAATGTTTGTATACCTTTAGACTGAGCTACCAATTAAAACTAGCACCTTAGCAGTTGACTGCTATGCAATGCATGTCAAATATACTCAGGCTTTTTCATTCAGTAGGCATTCAGGTTGAATACTTTAGCAGCAGCAGCATTTTCATTTAAAACGTGCTTATTTTTTGCATTTATTGTACATTCAGCAAATTCTCTCTGAACTTTGAGCAAATACATGAGAAGTTAAAATCAGTAGGGAATGTCTGTTAAGAAAAAATATAGAGGATCACTGTTGTCGTTACTAGGACTTGCGTTTTCTTACAGAAAAACAAAAAATAGTTAATTAGATTATAACGAATATCTTAAAATAAGGAGAACCAGTTAACATAATTCTTCAGTCTGTCACACAATCAGATAGGCTAACCGATTGAGAATATTAGTGTGATCCGGATAGCACGTAGACTGGAGTTATTGAGAGACGAACTTCTGTGAACCACTTATCTTTAAGGAGTACCATAATCCATTTATAAGGGACTCTGCAAGGCCAGTTGCACACATTCTTAACCCACAAGTACTGTAACTGCTAGAAATGCTGATATGTTGTGTTGTTCGGTTACTGGACTACACTACTACACAGTTTATTTCATAAATACATGTCTGCTTGCCTTGGTGATTGCCTTGAGACTATTTACGTATCATTTGGCTGATATGGATTAGCAGTAAAAGAGAGGACAAAGTTGCTGTGGTTTCAAACTCGTTAGTCAGACGTAATTCCTAATCTCAGGTTGTCATAAAAAGCATCCCTGCAAAGAGTCAATATTTCATTCAGCAGAGCCCCGTAAGAGAAACTAATAATAACCTGATGAATAACGTTTCATGGCTGCTGGTGTAATAAGCACGTCACTCAACTGATGTTTTTGACAATTTCTCCCGTCAAGTGAGGAATCTCCAATATTTGACTTTTTACTTCATTATTACTGCTTTGAAAATTTTGTTGCATACATAATGTAGTTAGAATCTTTACTGGGTAGAAAAAATTTTCAGTGTTTATTTTGAGAGTGAATTTTGCTTAGGCGGTGCTCAAGATAGTTGTCACGTTGCGGTAAAATGCTTGGACTTTGATTTTGGTACTTTCATTATGTTATGTACTGGTCGAGAATTTAATATTCCTGACGTAAGAAAGACGGAAATCAGAAGACCACTAGGTTTGCGATGATACTTCTATTTTCCAAACACAAGGAGAATCAATGTCACACAAGTGTGTAAGAGCAAAATATGAATGTCCGAACAAGTGTGTGAGCGAATATTCAAAATGAACAAATCGATAGACAGTCTTAACATGATTGGCTAATTATAATGGAATACCGATCCATATATACATAGCAAAATATATCAGACTGTCAAACAAACACACATATTATATGGATACATATCACCCCCCCTTTTGAGAAGATTGATGATTAGTAGGGTGTTTTCTCGGTGGTTTATCTGGAACCGTTGAGCTTGTTGTTGACGTTTGTCGCTTCGTCTGCCTCTTGGTTTTGCGGCTTCGTCCGGAATTGTCTGACATTTTATGCTTCTTGACTGCATTGCATAGCGAATTTAGTGGGACATCAGCCAGATGCAAACGATCGAACCAATCAAGTCCCAAAAGATTTAAATCACTCTTGGTGACGTAGCAGATTCCTCTGAATTTAATGTTACGGAATGAAACAGAACATTTGAGTTCACCAATTAGTTTGAGCCGCCCACCACAGGCGCTGACAAGAGTCTGCGAAGTATTTGTGATAGGTGGTCTGCCAATATCATTCCAAAGTTTCTCTGATATAACAGTAATATCAGAGGCGGTATCTAGCTGCAGACGTGTATCATGACCATTCATCTGAAGGTCAATATATTTCCCCATACCTGGTGTTGTGACTTGACAGGTTGCGACTAGACTCAATGATCTCCTTGGAGATTTAGGACCAACAGTTTGTCGAGCTTTCGCTGTATTTTGATATCTGAGTTTGCGCGGCTGGCAAAATCCATTTTTATGACCAATGATTTTGCAATTGCTGCAACGATGATTTTTGTATGGACAAGACTTTACAAAGTGCCACGCGCCACAATGCCAGCATGGTGATGGTGGGGTCTTCTTTGCAGTAATTTGAGAAGTTGGACGAGTATGTGTAGATTTATGCGGAACATTAGGAGAAGGTGGGTCGGGACTGGATGATGAGAGATTTTTGCACTTTCGTAATGCATGAATATCAGAGCTTCTCGAAGTTGTTGATTCGACCAGGTGTGTGTCTTTCTGCAAATTAATCAGCCGTTGATATTCATCAGCTATGTCATGTAATGTTAACTTAGGATTTTGTTCTAGCTGATTGAGCAGTCGAGTTCGGATATCTGTGAAACGAGGAGATTGAAGACTGCATATGAAGATCAAGGCTTTGAATTGATCATCTGTTAAGGACCTGAGTCGAAATCTCTCACATTCTCGGTTGACTGTGCCAACGTGAGTAAGAAAATCATCATTTTCATTCATTGTCAGCTTGAGGCAACGATAACGTATGCTGAATAATGAGGAGTGGTCTCCAAAATGTTCACGCAGCAGCTTTATTGTACCATCGAAACACTTGTCACGTGGTTTCTGGGGTAAAATTAGGTTGCAGTACCTTTCATATTCTGCGGGACCCAATTTACGTAATAACACTCACACCTTCCAAGCATCGTCTTTTGAGGCGAGATCAACAGTGAATAAATCCTCATATCGTTGATACCATGTGTCAAAAGCAACATTCGCATCTGGATTATAATTGAACTGTGAAATACTATTCACAATTCCATGGACACATGGTAGCATGGTATGATTCGGATTGCTTGAAGGTGAAACTGGACCAGTCTGTTGGCTGACGAACATTTCCATTAATTTCATTTGTCGTTCAAACAATAATTCCAATTCAGAAAGATCCATAGTTTTCCCCGTCGCCAAATTATTGTTATATACTGGTTGAGAATTTAATAGTCCTGACGTAAGAAAGACGGAAATCAGAAGACCACTAGGTTTGCGATGATACTTCTATTTTCCAAACACAAGGAGAATCAATGTCACACAAGTGTGTAAGAGCAAAATATGAATGTCCGAACAAGTGTGTGAGCGAATATTCAAAATGAACAAATCGATAGACAGTCTTAACATGATTGGCTAATTATAATGGAATACCGATCCATATATACATAGCAAAATATATCAGACTGTCAAACAAACACACATATTATATGGATACATATCACCAAGAACAGACTGTCAAACAAACACACATATTATACGGATACATATCACATTATTTCGTATTTGTGTTCTTTTCCCTATGCAGTAAAGTAAGCTGGCTTGAAAAAGACTTTAGGTGTATGCAAACACATGTATTACCGATTCCCACTGATAAGCATTGTTTGTTCACGAAAAAGATACATTCAGTACATTACAAGAGATTCTAAAACAGGCAACAATGGTTAATATACCAGGATATAATAAATTCATCAAATTTCGCTGGAACTCTTCAGCTGAATACTCTACATACATGGGTATATATATCATTGGAAATATTAGATAAACAGATAAACTACAATGAATTAATCATGCAAGACGAGACATATGATTATGTACAAATACATGAGGGGAAGGAAGTATAAGAGATTAGAATTAAGATGAAATGCATTACGCCTCAATTTAATCACTTAAATGAACAATTTGTCATCAGAGAGAGAACTCAAACATACCCAGAATTGCGAACTGTGATATCAATAGTAACAGTTATAATAATAATTCTGAAAGGAGTTAAGATGATGCTACTGCTAAAAAATAGTTTGAAATGAATCAGAAATAGTAACAATAGGAGATAGAACAAAATAATAGTAATAACAGTTAATAAATAGAACGTATAACCACGGTAGATTCAAAGCGACGACCATTTCCTTTTATACACAGAGATGTGGTCTATAAACTCTAATTGCACAAGCCACTGCAATTCCAAACATCTTCCTGTTTTTGTCTGCTGACAATAGTAAGTGACTTTACAGCGTCGATATCACATCTGTAGTCCACAAGGTGCTTTGTTACTGCACTTTTTCGAACCTTGACTTCGGCGAATGCTCTATCAAGCGAGTAGACAATCGCCTTTCTGTACGACTTATGTATTCTGCTCCCACAAACACACTCAAGTAGATATAGGCAATTTGAAATTTGAAGGTTTGGCGACTGGTTTTTCCCAGATTGTTGAAGCACCCACTTGGTGGTGATGTTAAGCAAGACGAATTTTGTGGCATAATAAGTCCTCTTGAAAGCTTTGTCGAGTCTTTGTTTAACTCCCTCTTGTACATTATCTCCTTTAGATGGCAAATTGATATAGACAGATCCCTTTGTAACTGTTTGCAAGGCCTGATTTCCTTCGAGTATTTATTGATGAACTTCTCGAGATATCCATTCCTGGATAAAATATCCCTCAGAACCTTTATTGCATATTCAATTATACTGTCAGAACAAGTTTTTAGTGCTCTACTGAACAAAGTACTAAGTTCTTTTTATACTGGATTGGAACAAAACTTTTAAAATGAATGTACCGTTCTATCCATGAAGACTTTTTAAATGTTGACTAAAGACATGATATCGACTGTGTCAGGTCATTCATTGTCGTCAGCAGGCATAAACAGGAAGATGTTTGCAACTGCGATGGCTTGTGCAATTATATATGATGACAGTCTAGTATATCTAAATGATTTCAAACTGTTCAGACAAGACCGGTGTAGTTCCAGGAAGAAACGCGGTGGCGGTGTCGCCATCTTCATCAATTCACAATGGTGTACGTCTAATAATGTATGTTTCAAATTCTCTAGTGACAATATTGACTGTCTCACCGTTAAGTGTCGACCTAAACATTTGTCAAAATACAACTACATTTACATCTCGAACATTT